CTTCTGATGTTTTAATATGCTTTTTTGACTTCTAATGTTAAACAGAAACGTTCATAATAAAATAAATAATAATAATATTTTCATATCTATATAAAAAAATAAAGTCATGAAATTAAATTCATTTTGCACAGTGATGGTAGTTCTTGCAGCTTCTGTTGGCTTCATTAGAAACAGAAGCTGTCCTACCTGCTGGCAGAGCCATGCTGACACAGAAAGGTAAGACCAGGAGCAACCAAACACTGAAACAAACACCATTTATCAGAAACTGACAGAAGATGCAACTAAACCCTGAACTTTTTATATTCACACTCACCTAAACGAAGTATTCAAAACTATTAATGTCACCTTCATGGCAGTTAKTGAAAGCTGTCACTCGTGTTTCTCCTCAGTTTCCACCATTCTTCCAGACTCACCTGTTACCGACATGCTAATTAGCGCGTTAGCTCTGGTTGCGCTTTTATGCTCTTGGACAGCTATCAACCCGATTCTTTGTTGTCTTCTTTATACATAGAAATAAAAGGTATTTGAACTTGAATTTAAAGGTAAAAACAAAAAAACAGTGAATTTTACAGCTTAGTCACTTTATGTTGTGAACATTTATTTTATTTTTTTTACACGCTGTCTTACGTCGACATCCAGTGGTCAGAGCGGGAAGGACAAAGGACCAGCGGTCAGTCAGGTCACAGACAAGCTGCTTGGTTGACTTCACAGGTAAGCAGTGGTGGGATGTAACTAAGTACAAGTACTTTCTTACTGTACTTAAGTACATTTTTCATGGGTACTTTTGACTTTTACTCCACTACATTTTACATTAAGTATCTGTACTTTCTGCTCCACTACGTTTCTGTGATGTGTTGAATTACAAAGTACATTCATGTCACGTCGATTTATTTTTTATTTTATTTTATTTTTATTTTTGTTAGAAAATAATCAGTGGCGAGAGGGGGAATTGCTGTAATTGGTCCATTGAACAAAGCAGGAAAGTACCATTAGACCCTCCTTCATAAAAAAGCAGAGCATCAGCATGCACACAATGGTTTCCACCACAGAGGAAATGTGCCACTCATGGCCTTATTTAACTGGTTCAAATAAATGACTTGTTGAGAGTTGATAGGGGAGGTTGGTGGTGAGTTTACATCTTCTGCAGCTGTTGTCACAATATGTGATGATGCACAGAATCACAAAGTGTGAACAGTGTCACAGTGGGTAAACACAAAACTATCTGCAGCATTGTTTACTAAAATGGCAACATTGATGTATTAAAATACACATACAGTAGGCACACTTCATGATATTTTAGACCATTAGGGAATACATTAAGCAAGTACTTTTACTTTTAATACTTTTAAGTATTTTTAAAAGCAAGTTCTAACTTTTACTCAAGTAAAAATGTTAATGTGGTACATTTACTTTTACTAGATTACATTCTTGTCTGTTTATCTGTACTTTTACTTAAGTACAGTGTTTGAGTACTTTCTCCACCACTGCAGATAAGATTGAATTTCATTTTCATTCAATTAATATAAAAGTTATTTATTTATTTATTTATTTATTTATTTA